AGCTAGAAATGTAATATCGCTTTATTAAATTGAAGCACAAGATCCCATTCAATGATCGAAAATGTCAATATTTAAATATATTTACGTCTACATCGTCTGTACTGACCCATTGAATGTAGAATAACTTGTAGCACGGCTCTGTAAAATAACGAAGGAGAAAGATGCTTATTATGTTTACTCCTTTCGATAGATTGTTGAGCCAACATTCTGGCGTTTTTAGTGAAATTCCAACGTCCGCTCAATGTTTCATCCGCTAAATGATAACAGCATGGAACTACAAGAAGCAAATTAATGTCCTTCGCACGTAAGAAAGCTTTCATTACAGAATGCACAAGCATTCCACAAGTGTGTAATCCTGTCAAAATCAGATTTTTGTTTACAATCCAATCAGGGTAATGTGTATTCACCATTTTGTTATAATTAGTCATGTCGTCCAATTCTTGAACTATATATCGAACCTAAAAAAACATGACAAAAAACTTGAGAATTTTTTATAATGTCATAAACGATAACGATATAATGTGATTGAATGTGTTTTTCATGAACCTTTGTTAACGGTCGTTTCCTCTTCTGAATCTTTTCCTGACGACTTATCGCACCCTTGTGACAAACTTGCGACGAATCGATCGCCAATACAGGGATATTAAAATGTTCTGACAAATACGTCGACAAATACGCTTTCCCAGCTCCAGCGTCTATTACTAAGCTGCGGGTGATAAGTGCCATTTCGGCAATGACTTTTCCAAGCACTTGGATTTCGTGCGACTTCTTTGTATTCATGAGCTCAGACTTCGGGCGAACGTCGAGTTTATTTTCGATCGAACCTCCCTCGGAAGACTGCGGTAAAAGCTTTGTCAAATCGTCCACCCACGTAACAGCTGGGCATGATTCTAAAGAGAGTGATCTTGTCAATTGTATGAAATTACTCAATTCCGAATCCGTGTCGTTTTCCGTCCAGATATCGTCGCTCGTATCAATAATACATTCAAGCTCCGATCTAAGTCTCTCTGGCAAGCACTTGTCCCATAGTCCTTCGGTAATAAAGTCAACCAGATGACAGTCTACCAGCTTCTGATAGATATTAATGAAATCCAACGCTTTCTCAAAGTGCTGGTTATATTCCGCCATCGTCGTCGCATTAAAATTCAAGTCTATCTGTCTCCGGATAAACCGAACTAATTTTTGCTAGAGAACAGAATTTGGCATATTTGAACTTAATATCTTCCACAGCTTTCAGAATGTCCAGATTGTCGTCCTGGTGATCGGGAAGAGTGCGGCGAATGTCTTCCAAGAGCCTCCCGGCTATCGCCACCGCCTTCTCGCATTTAGCGTCATTAGTCTGTAAATAGTGTTCCAATACTCCACTATAGTATCCTAATTGCGCGGCGATTATGCCAGCTCTATGGTACCCAAGGTGGTATCCCTTTAGCAGCTGCTCCCTGCCAGTCACATAGCCTTTCTCGTAGCCTGACTTCTGTGCAATTTCTTCCGCAAATAATAAATTCTCGAAGGCTTTATTTACGTCCAGGTCCTTCTCTTCCTGGGACATAATTAGGGTAATTATTTAGTTTAAGGGCCTCACCTCAAATCTCGATGTAAATATGCTCAATCGACGCGTTTTTGTACGAAACGAAAGAATCTGGCAGAAAAAAGTGTCGCTCTGCCCC